TTACTGAACCCTTCCACTTCCAATATCTTACTAGTAACTCTCCTTACTGTCTGCTTTACAGTTTTTATGATGTTAGTTCTGAGAATTTGAAATTGGATCCATAAAAACTATCCCCTTGTCAATATTTATCTGTAATCTTATCACTTGTCTGCTTGATATCAATGTAAGGAGAAATGATTTCTTGGTTGCTCCCCAGAGTTTAAGGGTTAAAGGTATAAAGTAAGGAACATAAAGCACAAAAGGTAATTCTAAATCTAAGAGTAGATCACCAAAATAAAACTTTTAAACTCTTGCAGTTTTCAGGCAACATAATCAGTAACAAACACTAACAGTAGACATCTATATTTATACAGGATAGCTCCTTCAGTGTAGTAAACACTGGTATCAATGGGGGTCCTGTTACACACCCATCCCACCCCAGGGGAGGATATCCATCACACAGTAATCTCGTGCATGGGAAATTAACGTCTCCTGCCCCTAACCCTGCAGGAGATGGGACCTCCATTTATTTGTCCCTATCAGAGAAGACTAGAATATCTAATCATTTCTTGATGTTATAGAAAGGTAGCATATTCTTCTCAATTATTTTAAGACCGAGTGTTGGTCCAGCCGGGGCTCGAACCCTCGACCTAGTAGACAGTATATTCTTTAGTTTTATTGTAACATCTGAAGTCAAAATGAATGGTCAAAATTAAGTAGCCCATAGAATTCTGCATGATTTCCTATTTCCCAAGCTATCTCTAGTTCTCTGACAAAAAGCAAAGATTGTAACACTCCTCTGCTTACCTGTGCACTACCAAGCAGAATTACATTTTATTAATTCTTAAGACTCGCGAGTTTTTAAGGACATGACAGTTCTGGTTACAAGACGGGCAGATGAGTTAATTTTCGCAATATTCAACCACTTAATTAGTAGCAAATTGTTCTCTCTCCCAACTTGTCTTACCAAGTAAATCAGTGTTGCATTTCTAAAAGAATCAAACTGCTCTCTGTGGTATACTTAAAAATGATAACAAAAGAGACTCACATTTGCCGTTATTTGAATGTAGAACATCATTTAACAGAATCTTTGCTGATCCTAGAGGTACATCACTTTTCAGTGAAAATTTGTTACTGACTTCCAGTTCCAAAAGACTGTATGGTGTGACAAGGCTGAAAGGGAAATAAAATTTTGTCATACAAATCATGCACAGTGTTCAATACTAACCTCTAAATTCTATTTAACTTGATAAAATACACACTTGACTGTAGTGAAGCAGCCGCAAATAATTTTATCCAGGTTTAATGCGAAATCATTGACACACCACACTATTGACCACACTATTCCTTGGGTTAATCATAACAATATTTCCAACTGCAACTTGTCCTTAATTCTGGTTTGTTGATATGTAATATTCCTTACACTGTAAACTCCTCATCCCACTTGGGTTCCCATGTTTTACGGACAGCTTCTGTTTTCTTTGAAGGTTGTTTGCCATCAACAATAAGTTTCACATAAGGATCTCCTTTGCCTATCAAAATAACATGTCAAATAGGTTTCAATTTTGTAGTATTGTACTTAAGACTGGATTCAGTCAGCATGAATTCATTGTGACATGAAGCACACAGAAGTCTGGAAAGCACAAAGATTCTACAACTCACTATACACTAATCTAAAAGCAACTACAGTAACTTCTTAAGTGCTCTCTTAACCTCCCATATGCTTCATATCTCCATGAACTCAAAGCTGGCACATGTACAAGTTGTTTTTTTTCACCTTGATAATTTAACTTTGTATAGAGAGATATTTCCCTTGTTACACTTCAGCAGATACACTAAAGTAACCAACATATACATTAAGAGAATGAAGCATGCTCAAACAACTGAATCTGTATACTCAAATTCCCTGCCTTTCTTCTAAAGTTTAGTGTTTGTATTTATCAACTTACTGAACCATCCCGGCTGCTCCTTAAGTGTAGCCTTCAAGACTGTGTAGAAAAAGCAACATCAAAACAACAATGTTACAGCATTTGCTGGTTAATAGCACAAAGGTTTCATAGCAATGAAAGGCACATGGTGGCTGTCAAAAGATTGACAAATTAAAACACTGCGCAAAGCATGAATTGTACAGTCTGTAAATGGGTTTGTAAATGTTTGTTTATTGTGAAATCACACATTGAAAGTCTTCAACACTTGGACTACTAAATCTCTTATCTGTTGTCTAAATAGTGACATTCTTCAAATGAAATAACTTAGCTTTAAAAGGACACAAGAAACACCTAAAAACTAATAGAAATGTTCAACTTGTCAGATTTGGGGAAAAAGGAAGGGAGAAATACTTTCAGTCTTGATTAAATCTATACATCAAGCAAGATGTATACCCTACAGAAAAAAATGAAGAATAACAACAACTACATATACTGCCTTTAGACAATTATTAAAGAAAGTTTATCATTCATAAAGGTGAAAGAAAAAACAGTTTTTTTTTCATCACAAACTTACTTGTGAACTTGAGTTGTGAAAGCTGACTGCAAAACAAAGTGCAGAAAAAAATTGAGTTCAAGAAGTTTTTGTTCTGGTTTACATGTTGCAATTCAAAGATGTTTGTGTTCTTTGCAAGAGTTAACTATCAGACTTTCTGCTAGACTGGAGGACTGATAATTATTCTGCTGGTAAGAACACAGAGTATTAGAGAACTGTTCACAAGAGCAGTTTCCAAACTGATAATGGCTTCTCTCTGCTGCAAGATATTACCATGATAACAGTACAACATCTTTATTATGTAAAATTAGGGTGGCTTTGAATCTTAACTAGTGACTCAATCAAAATTTTGAGTGGTCTTGATGAGCTGATTCTAAGGCAATGAAATCAAATGCATTTCAGAGCTACTGGTAGCGGAAGTGTTGCTATAATAAATTTTCTCTCTAAAAGTAAAATAATTGTATATATTTGAGTGCTAAACAGACACCACAAAACTTCCCCTTCTTAAAATATCATACCTTGCAGAATTTGGTTGTTCAGAACCGACAAGCATGACACTTCTCTCTTAACTCTACAGGAAGGCATCAAAAACATCAATTATCATAAAATGATTCATACGATAACTAATGGCACAAAGTGTTACAAAGTATATTGAAGTACCCTAACATGTCTAAAATATATAGTTGGATCACAACTGGTACAGTACATTGCTAAGTGATACTGATTTTAGCATTTTTCTAGACAGTTCAAATGTCACAAAGCATAATTGAACTCTATAACATTTTACAAGATGCATGCAACTGTATGTCTCTGCTTTGAATTTTAGTTTAGTATACATTACAACCAGTAGTTTGTCTTGTAAAAGCTTTTACTTTATCACAACTTAAAAAAGTGCCTCAAATTCTGAAAATAACTCTAATCTGGATCAGGAACATCTTGAGCTCCTGTGAGGGCTATAGACTACACTAATAACTGGATTACATGATTAATGTAACAGTATGGAAAAATCTGAGATGGCGTGAGCAGCCACTGCTGGACTGGTTATCACATCCACAGTAAACAACAAATCATTACAATATTAGCACGAAAACACTACTAACAGTCAATGCACAACATTTCACCCAATATGCAAGCCACAAACCCTTTATTAAGATTTGTTTTTAAGGAGGAATAACATTCATCTCATCTAAAGTTTTCATTCCCTTGTTGTGGAGAGGGCAAAAATACAATTACAGTACTTGTTTTACTGACAAAAACTGTAGGCAAAATATATATCTGCAAAAGATGACAATCGCCTGGGACGAAGTATTACCAGTTTATAGTGAGCAGTGGACTGTTAGAAGACCTCGGTGGTTGAACACCTACGTAACTATCAAATACACAGTGTTAAGATGCACGCTAAGTTGAACTAAGCTTTCACAGGGTTTGTTTATGTTACAACAACAAAACACATTTTTGGTTTCTAACAGCTCAGTTTAAAATTCGTAGACAACACTATTCAGGAAGTACTGAAGCACTCACAGGAATGATAAATATTAGGGACCAATCGTGCCTAACAAGGAAGTTCGGCCAAGACGTGTATATCTAGAGCGACCGACTTATAGTTAGGTGGAAGGAAAGATGTTTACATGCATGAACGTAATCATATCGAAATTTTAGAGCTACTAAAATAGATATGAGTGAACTAGAAACAGGAATTCTGATGATTATACTGTTTACAATGCGACGAAGATACCATCGCAACTTACCTTTGGTCGATCTGTTATTTGGTTTAATCACATGCATTTCTCGTAACGTCATATGTAGGTCTAGCGAGTTTCTATATGTTCCGTTCCTTTCATGATTTAATGGTTGCGAAAAAAGAGTGGACCTAAAACTTACCAAAGGTAACTCACGCAGATAAAAACAAATTAAAAATCAGTTTTCGTTGCTGCTGTCCATCGACTTCAACTCACATCTGGTTGATCTAACCATGAAAACCTGAAGGAAATGTTATCGTATTTATCAATGACAAACGCCTTAATGAAGTCAAAAAGAGCTGAAAACCGCGAGGTATCATTACCCATCCATGATGTATCACATGAGAATGACGAGAAACTATGCAAACTTCCTAGGAAATCCAAAAATTTTCATTATACAGCGGTCATACTTTTAGAGTATTAGTCGGCGGCTGGGGAACTTTTCCTCTCGAGACTCTTGAGATTTAAATATTATAGGGCACAAAAGCAAATTAAATCAGACGGTTTTCTTCTAGTGGGTGTTTCACGTTATCATCGGTTGCAAAACCAAAGGACAGTTTCTAAAAGTTGACGTGACCCTTCCAATCGTCCAACATGGCTACTCAAATTTAGACACTATACCCAACTTCATAATTTAGTGCGAATACAACCAGATCGCTGCAAAAAACTAACAAGGATGTTTTCAAAAATCCTACCTTCTATTTAAAGAGTCACAATCGGTAAATTCTTTCCCAAACAGAAAAAACCCTTCCCAAACAGAAAACAGCCAAGTCACCAACAATTCGAGGCCGTCTTCGATGTACACACCACGTGACCTTCAAGCAAATGACGTCATTGGAATGTCACAGGACCCCAGTTTGATGCAGGGATCACAGGTCAGGTAGGAGCTATGAGAAATCCAGCGCACCGTAATGATTCGATTTAGCACCTTCCTTCCAACAAGCGTCCCCTCTCCTTTTCAAATAAACGTAAAAGCTTTCTTTCGCACATTCTACTTTTTCTCAAAAGAGAAATGAGCGCCCTGTCTGAGTTCAATTTTCATTTTTTTGTGTGCAAATAGGTCCCACCTACACTGCTTACATTAAAATATGGTTAAGACTTTTTTGCCCTACTTTGACACCTACAATCTTCGTCAAAATATTTGAAACACTCCTCCCCTTTTTAGGGAAAGTGGGAACAATAATACATAGAAAAAAGCGAATTCGGCTGCTCAGATTATATTGACATTTGGTCAAAAGTTTGATATAGGTGTCCCAAACATTTTTGTTAAAATTAAGGTAAATTAGGTAAATTAAGGTTCCATTCACTTCCTGTAATTTACGTATGCTCATATGTACACATGCTTTCTCCAGCTCTGAATGGCTACCTTTAATTTCAGCGGTATCCGGTTAGATCGCACCATGGTTTGATCGCTCCAAGTTAGATCGCTCCATCCGAAAGTTAGATCGTCCCACTCGAAAGTTAGATCGCTCCATCAAATAAGTTACTTCGCTCCCAACATAAGTTACATCGCTCCATGTGGTAAGCTTCAGTGTTACTTACTACTGATCTTTAAAGTTTATAGGAGAAGATTGTCTTGTGACGATTCGATGACCTCTATTTGACCTCGAGAGAACCACAACGCTCAGGCTCCTTGCATCTTGAGGAAGCGGGTATGTTCCTGGTTGTTTTCTCATGTATTTTCCGATCTCGGCATGAAAAAATATATCCTGACAAGACAACTTTTTATGAGCTAGGTTTTCTTTATTCTGCGTCCTAACGGTCTTCTATTCACTTTACACAAAGTCACACTGCACTATGAATACTAATGTTTTTAGCGCGATCTATAGCTAATTAAATATAAACAAAGAATGGTGTTAATTTCTTTTGGGAAGTAAAGGCTGGCCGCATTTGTTTCTCACTTTAACTTCAGTTAACTTGAGGTATTTTAACGAAATTTAGTTATTTCTTAATTTACTTATATTCTGTTCATTTTTTATTTACTAGGTACAGGCGTTAGCACTGTAACCGTCTCCCGGTTAGCTCAGTTGGTTAGACCGCTGGACTGTTGTGCGCGAGGTCGAGGGTTCGAACCCCGGCCGGACCAACACTCATGGTCTTAAAATAACTGAGGAGAATGTGCTTCCTTTCTATAACATCAAGAAATGGATAGAAATTCTAGTCTTCTCGGATAAGAACGAATAAACGGTGGGTTCCGTCTGCTGCATTAGATAATTAGATAATTAGATAATTTGATTAGGCAGGGGACGTTAAAGAACCCACATCACGAGATTACTGTGATGTGGTCTGGCCTGTTTACTGGGATTTGGAGGGTGAGGGCATCTGTTAAAGTTCGCCTTTATTGTTTGTAAACTGTACTGGCAGTCTGGTAAAGTCCCCCGCTCAGCGCTGTAAAGCGCCTTGAACATAGGATAAGAGCGTTATAGAAATAAAAGTTATTATTATTAGGACTGACGAACAGCTACTACAATGACCGGGGCACGTATGCTTACATCCGTAAGATGATGGCGCTACCGTTCCAGCCCGAAGGCGAGATCACAACGGAGTTTGAGCGGCTTCAAAGTCAGAAAGAGTCCCCAACCCTAGCCGAGTTTGCCGAGTACGTAAACAACACGTGGATTAGCGGCGGAACATGGAGCCCTGCAGACTGGACCATCTTCAAGCAAGCAGTGCGCAAAAACAACGACCTGGAAGGTTGGCATACGGGATCAACCGGCGAGCGGCTGGTAAATCACAACTTCCCTTGTACGTCTTCATAAAGTTACTTCACCTGGAGGCCCAGCTGACCGCCATCCAAGTACGATTGGTGTCTGAGAAAAAGCTACGCAGGATCCAGCGGCGTAAATACCGAGACATGCAGGCCAAGATCTTCGACCTCTGGGATCAATACGAGTCAAACCAGAAATCCGCCTGACAGCTACTCAAAGCCTGTTCCTTCCTGAATGGTCCTGTTTAAACACAGCAGCAGACAACAGAAATACCACCAAATGACCAACAATGACTATGATTGCTTTCAAAGAACCGACACTTTTAAACGTTGTTAAACTCAGACCCGAGCGAGACTGGGTTCGACTTCTGTTAAAAATGGCGACTCTTTCTTCGTGTAACTAAACTCTTACTTATCCATCCACTGTCCATCTGTCTTTTATCAACTTTCTACTTTAATTTACCACATGTAGCGAAGTAACTTATGTTGGGAGCGAAGTAACTTATTTGATGGAGCGATCTAACTTTTGGATGGAGCGATCTAACTGGGAGCGATCTGACCATGGTGCGATCTAACCGTGAACAATTTCAGCCAGCCCGCTTGAAGAGACCCATGTGAAGTATTCATTTCAACTCATCTGAAGCATGGCTTACGAACTACCAAAGGATAATAAAGACTTTCTGTACTGAATCTTCTTGGATAAGCATTTTTTGAGGGAAACTGCGAAAAACGCTTTAAGTATTTTCGCCAGAATATTCTTAACCGACCTCAATGAACTGAGAGCGAGACTTAGTCTCCTCTAAAGCACTATCAAATCTGACTGCCATAAATACCCAGCTTTTGCTCTTAGATTTGGAAGCACTGTCAGGGACTTCTCAGATAACTTCTAGGAGAGGGCGTTTAAAACAAAACAAAAATGTAAAAAAAGCAAAGTAAGTATATGTTTTTATTCTTTCTTATAGGCATCATTCTGCCTATTCAGACCTCACTTAAATTAACGGTAGTGGAGTTTTTGGGATTGAAATAACTCGAGAATAAGTGCGACCTGGGGATACCATTAATTTTTATACATTGAATAAGACTCACACTTTTGAAAGACTCAAGCATTTTTGAGGGATAAGTTTAATGCAGGTAAGTATATGTTTTTTGATCTACATCATAATCAATAGCATACATGTATAATATTGTCGTTAACCTTCTGGCAGCAACACGAAACACTCTGATGTTTTGAAAAGAGCTTTGAAAAATCTTGTGGTAGTTGGACCGTCAAAAGGTGTCTTTATTCGATACGAAGTCTTAATTTTTCATTTTTGTTTCGTCTTTTCTCGGTTAACAATCAATGCGTCACCAAGGAAACTCGGTAGACGTGAACGCAGAGGGGAACGTGAGACTAGTTTCGAGGTTGAAGAACCTGGTCATGGAGGAGTAGACCATGTCGATTTTGTTTAACCAGTTCATCGCCAAAACCTAGTTATGCATTTTCAGTGGGACACCTGACTAGTGGACACAAGAAGCGAAGTAGTGGACTGATAACGTTGGTCGTTGGTGGGCTAACCTAATGTGCTAATGATTCGGGAGCTACTTTTGGTATCGTGAGACAACAAGACATGGGAACTCTGGTAGGAAAAAGGAATTAAATGCGAGTCTCGCAACTCTGGGAGAGAACTTCTTGCATATGGTGGTACCAAGCCTCTACCCACCTTGGGAACGTTTACTGACAGCAGATGTTAAGCTAGCTGGGACGGGTAGTGGAAGTAAAGCTGACTTTGTCTTGGTTGAAGCCGGTGGTCAAACTCTGTTGGGCCGAGAGACTTTTGAGGCGTTAAGTTTTCTGTGCATTGGTCCTTTTCAGGAAAACAATGTGGGCGTTGATCGGTTTGATAGTGACGTCAGAGGGAAATACAAGCATTTGTACACTAATGCTGGTCCTTTGAAGGGTTACCAGCTTAAGCTGCATGTTGACGAGTTGGTGGGGCAAGTGGCGCAATCTGTTCTCAGGATACCATTTGGACTGTGAGAGAACTTTTGAAGCTCGACGTTCAGGGGTTGTGGCGGGGTTGCGAACATTGCTGATGATGTAATTGTTTAATGGTGCGGCGTGAAAGAACACGACAAACGTCTTTTGGCGGCGTCAGATAGTTTGAGAGAAGTAGGGTTAACAGTTAATGGTGACAAGTGTGAGTTTAGACTATCATCAACTAGCAAGCAACGGCGTAAATCCGAGAGAAGAAGAGATTGCGGCCATCAGAGACGCGAGGCCTCCTAAGGACGCGAGTGAAATGCGATTGTTTATGGATCTTGTCCAGTACTGTGCAAAGCTCATGCCAGACGTGGCGTCAGTGGCAAAACCTGTCCTGTTGGCAAGGGAACTGTATTTCACTGTGATAAAATTCAGCATACTCCCTTTAAAGCGCTAAAGAGTCTAATTACACAAGTGGATTTTTGGCAGTTGGAGGCAATTTGAGTTGGAAACCGACCACAAGCCCCTGGAACGCATTCATTCAGACACTTCAAAGCCATGCGCGTGAATAGAAAGATGGGTTTGGCGCCTACAGTCGTACGACTTCAAGGTTTTTATCGTCCGGGAAGGGCAAACATCGCAGACGCATTATCAAGGTTGAATTCTAACAAGCACTTGGACGTGGGTGAAGAGTTCGACTTTGTCAGAGTAGTTATGGAGGACAGTGTACCAGTGTAGAGCAGATCTGTTAGGGCTACTTCCTTCAGGGAAAAATATTCTAGTCAGCGTCGGTGGGGGAAAACAACAAGTAATTTTGATTTTATCAACTCAGTTGATAATGTTAATTGGCCACCGTAAAGAGTTTCAAAGTCGACGTTTCGAGTGTTAGCCCTTCGTAATTTGCACCGACGAAGGGCTAACACTCGAAAAGTCAGCTTTGAAATTCTTTGAGTACGGTGGCCAATTAACATAATCAACCAAGTTGATAAAACCAAAATTACCTTGCGATATTGCAACTATTTCTATTGAATTAGAGAAGTATTAAGGGAAATTCAATTTTTTCAGCTATTCATGGACTGAAAGCGTTGCATTATTTGACAAAAAGACCAAGGAGAGAGTTAGCAGTGCCC